CAGCGTCTTCACCAAACAGGACTATGTCATCTGCGTATTCTAAGTCAATAAGTGGACCTCCTGGTAGGAGATCAATACCCGAGAAGTCAGTCGATGAGAGCGTTATTTCCATCAGGATGTCTATGATAAAGTTAAACAAAAAAGGAGAAAGTGGACAGCCTTGACGGACGCCACTTGAGGTTGTAAAAGCAGATGACAGTTCGCCATAGGCTCTGACCCGACTAGTAGTGTTCGAGTAAAGAGCCTTCACAAGGTTTATGTACTTCTGAGGTACGCCTTTCAATGACAGACACTGCCACAGAACCTCTCGGTCAACAGAGTCAAACGCTGCTTTTAAGTCAAGGAATACCACCATTGTCGGACGCCGATAAGTATGCCTGTGTTCTAGAACCTGACGAATGGTGAATATGTGGTCGATGCAGCCACGACCAGGTCTGAAACCAGCCTGATTTTCACGTGTTTGCAGTTCACGAGTCTTAGTTAGGCGTCCGAAAATTATCGAAGCTAGTATTTTAGATACTATATTAGTCAAACTAATCCCTCTGTGGTTGTCACAGGATGATTTTGACCCTTTCTTAAATATTGGGACGATAAGTGATTGTGACCAGTTAGATGGAATAACGTCTAACTCCCAGATTTTAGCTAAAATATTAGTCAACCTAATCGCTAAAACTAGACTACCATCCTTAAAGACCTCTGGGGCCGATCCATCTGGACCAGCTGCCCTTCCTCGTTTCAGATTAACTATAGCCTTTTGAACTTCAGCTAGAGTTGGGGGACCTACTTCAATGTTCCATTCACACTGTCTGGGAATAGAGGGTAGTTGTAGAGTAGCTGAAGGCCAGTTAAACTGCTCCTTAAAGTGTTCCGCCCATCGTTCTAAGCGTCTGGACTGGGAGCAGATGAGAGTGTCGTCTTTTTCCGAAATGGTCTGACTTACATTTGATTTATTAATTCCAGTTTCTTTTATTAGTCTGTAGAGTTGTCTTGTGTTCCCTATAGCCGCCGCCTTTTCCATCTCTTTTGCTTTCGTTGCCCACTACTGCTCACGATCATTCCTTAGACTTTTGCTTAATCTAGATTTGATTTCTTTACGCTCTTCATCGTCTTCAAAACCTGATGGGATGAGTTTGCGAGAATCTATCAGTGCAATAGACCTTGACGAAATCCATTGGTTTTTTGTAACCATTTGGTTTAAATCACTGGTAGATGTCACTGCTGTTTCCACAGCTGCTTGTATAACTTTCCAAGCAACATCTGGGTCAGTCTCGTTTTCAGAACTACTTAAGTGTGACCTCAGTTGTTCCTGGAACCTACTTTTGGCTTTCTCATTACTCAATTCGGTTCTAATGAGTCTTTTTTGTGTGGCTCTTTTGCGTCCAGTGAGGCGCAAGCAGATGCGTGCTCGTACTAGGGCATGATCAGAGTCCAAGCAGGTACCCCAGAATGAGCGACAATCTCCTATTGACCCTCTCCAACGATGACTGATGGCAATATGGTCTATTTGAGTCCATCGTTGGTTTGGTGCAGGGGGTCGCCATGTTAGACGATGTCTCTCCTTATGCTTAAAATTTGTGTTTGCTAAAAATAAACGATTGTCTGAGCACAGTTGCAGCAGACGATCACCATTATCTGTTCGCTGTGCTGGAATACTAAAATACCCACCTAAATGTCTTTCTGTTTTGTTTAAGCTACCTACCTGGGCATTAAAGTCACCTCCTACGAGTACTATGTCTGAACGTTTAGCTTTCTGAAGAAGTTCAGACAGCTTTCTGTAAAATTCATCTTTCACTTCATCCGAACTGCAGTCAGTGGGAGCGTAGGCAGAAACGACGAAAAGGCAACGACGTGTGTCCCTATCCTTCCGAGTTCTTACGGAGCCGTTTAGCCGAACAGCGCATAGACGACTGTTAACGGGGATCCACTCTAATAGCGCTTGTTCCGCCCTCATGCTAAGTGCTATGCCTACACCTGCCAGTCCACGAGAACTAGCCATCGGGTCGCCAGATACACGGAGGGTGTATCTCGTTGGCTCTCCGTTTTGCCGAGGTGAGGTCAAGTGAATGACCACACTAGGATCCTGTATGCGTGTTTCGGAGACACAGCATACATCAATGGTACGAGATTCTAAGGTTTTAGCCAAGGAAGCCTGCTGACCGATTTGGCATAGTGTGCGTACGTTGAAGGCTCCAATGTATAGTTTGGAGCGAGGTTTCAGTAGACCTGGGACAGTGTTTTGAGCACTAGAATCGTTGGCTGTGGTGACACTTGAGGAGGAAGCTAAAAGAGGAAGTTTAGTGTATAAATTCGATGTAGGAGGAATAATAGGAATTAAAGAATGAGGTTGACTATGAATACAGTGGTCTTGAGTGCTGTTAGAGGTATGAGGGCGGTTATCACTTCCCGGTTGCCCACACCGTGGAAGGGTTCTTCTGGAGGTACCTGAAAAGGAAATTGGATTAGAGTTGGTCATAGTGACCTGAGAGCGTGACCGCAGTGCCCAAGGGACAGCTGCTTGAGGTCGGTCACACACGACCCTTTTATGAGTGATTTTTGTGTTAGCTCCGTACTTGTTGAGTCCTTACCGCCGGAGACGGATATCCGTGGGATAAGGCGAGGTGTGCATTTTTAGGGTCGACCTTTTCTAACCCCACCCCTCCTTGTGGGAAGGCAGCATCGCTGTCATGCTGGTTGTCTGAAGGAAACACCTTACTGCTGTCACACCTCTGTACAGTCAGCAGTACGACTTCGCCTTCGGACCTTGATTTTGTTGCTTTTAGTCTTACCGCTCTTCAACCGACCTGTCTGGCATTGTAGGACCTTGAGGAACGGTCGTTCCAGCCAGTATAGCTCAGTTGCTTCATCACGATAGGCAAGCCCGACCACCACGTCAAGGTAGCAACAACGGTCAGGTACATTAGGGTTTGATGATGTTATTAAAGGAGTATAGTCCAGTGGAATAGATTTGGAAAGAAAATAAAGGACATGAAGAATTCAGAAGATTAGAGTTTGAGAGAACACAGAGTGGATGCACCTGCGCCATTGCAAACGATTTTGAGCCATGTCATTCAAGGTCTCTAACCATCGGTTGCTATCATCTCGCGGTCCCCAACCAAGTAGTCTACATCTACCAACATGGCTCAGTCCACTTGTCAGTGACTTCATGGATTTGTGCCATGTTTTGGTCTGGCCGCCCCTAGCTTTCTCCCAACCTACTCCTACACCAGAAAACATTGCAGGTCGCTATGCCCCAAGAGGAGCACCAAACTTAGGTAAACATATTGGACCTTATGTCTGGTGTTGAGATGACATTCGACAGCTTAAGCAGGCTGATGACTAAAGCTAGAATTCTGCATATTTATACAGCAGATGAATCGCAACTATAAAATTGTCAAGATATGAATAGACACAAGAGCAACATTCACTATGGATGACAACTATCATTCGTTGAGTTCTTGGTACCACAGAAAACCAGAAAAACATGGTAGCTTTTGATAATTTACTCGCTCGTGTACCACTTCATTGTGAACCTACTAAATAATAATAGGATATATTGAGATAAAAGACGTACTTAGTATTACAATTACTACAACATATTACCTTCATCTGGGTGTTATTAATAACTGCCCAGTTGTTAATAGTGATAAATGCAACTCAAGTAAGCCTCAGTTTGGCAAACTTATGCAACGTACTGTAATTACTTGGTACATCAAAGTTGTTTCTTCATCGATATTGGCTTATAATAATAGCCTGGTAATAATCAACATTGTGTCCACGGTGAAAAAACTCTTCACATCATATCTGGGGTGACAATAACTTGAGGTAAGATCAAATAATAAATATCGAAAGGGGTTTGGATTTAGCTGTATGAAGTTACTCAGATCAGGGAGGTGAGGTCGAGAAGGAAAGAGAGATTAAGCACTTGTTATAGATAGATCTAGTGAATGTGTGACGTACTAGAGAAAGTAACTGAAAAGCAACAAGCCAACACCAAGAAATAATTGGAAACTTTTTAATCTAGTAGTCAATTTCGAGACGTATAGAGCCGGAAATGAGAAGCATAATCAATAATTATACCTGATGATATTAAGCAGTAGGGCTGAATATAAGGAAGCTTTCTAACCGGAAACGTATCAAAACACCAAAACATCCACTATTTTAAACGAAAGCCACTCAGTACCACGACTGGGTCCTTGTTTTACAAGGAGCATCGATCCAGTGAGTTGTGGCTACGAATTTCGGCACGAGGAACTAACAAAAGTTAATCTAATATACCTCTTGTTCAAATCCTTCACTTCGTAAACGATACAATGATTTTCGAATAAAAATGTTTATCGAGAAGCGACGGCTGCAAACCAAGAAATTAAAATAACGAGTCATAAGTCAACCGATAATACTTGTTCGATTGCGCATGGTATTACAATTTTTGGTACTATAAGGTTAGTTTACAAAGATATCAATAACAATATTTTGGCAATCATTCCACCTTCTGTTTAAATTTAAACTACTGAAACAAAACAGTAACCAACTCATTAGCACGCACACTAAGGCCCACATAGTAAAAATTATATAAATGTTAAAGTGTTTAATATCAAAGGTATGAATTAGACACTACCAAGTGGGTAAGTGGTAATCTGAAACCAACAGTTCTAAACCAGTCATAAACCTAACTTAACTAGTATATTTGATTATTCTGCATAAAAAAAGTAACCTTTCGTAAGTATTGTGTTGCTTTAAAAGGATTATAGCTTGAAAGAAGAGTTCATATTCGGTACTAACTGATTAGCCGATAAACAAGTTTATGAAATCTGCTGTTGTCCGTGCATAATTAAAGAGTGATGATAGTGAGGTAACAGCAAAGTACTAAAAGAACACTTGACCCCGTATATTCCTAAACATTCGTGAGCCTTATGTTTTGAAAGTTTCCCTACAATTAATGCATATTAAGTCGACATTAACGTTGAAAAAATTACCTACTATATATTTCAATCAAGGCTTACAGTGTGTAGTCTTCCCGTTTCTGGACGTGAAATAGTCGCATAATCTTAACTTCATGTAAGTTATTGTCGCATTCCCAGTTAATAAAGTCAACTTTCTTTAGCAATTTCCGTTCGTGATATTTCAATTTGCGGACCATTGTAACGCAACCCTTGAGATTTTGGCGCCAATACAAATGGTTCAAATGGTTGTGGACGGAATAGAAGAAGCTTTCGCTTAACAGGCTTCGGTGTCTAGTAGCAAGGAAAACCAATACCTTCAGGCAGGAACATAGGTATATTAACGATAATAGAGGAACAAAAGAAATTGGTAAATCATAGTACGATACTATATTAGTCCTTAAGAATGGATCAAGTCGCCTCTTAAAGGACTCCTGGGAAGTTACTTGGACTAGCTCATTCGGCACCGAGTTCCAGCATTCAACAAACCTTAAGGAGTAGAAGTTGTGCCTACAGTCCGTTCTACTATGTTGAATCTCCAATTTCTGGGTGATACCCATTAGGTTAGTGTTGGGACTAAGCTTAAGTAAGTGTTTAAGAGGACGTCCAGAAGTATTAGAGTACTGTAAGCCAATATTATGAAGTTATCATTCCCTCTTTATATACATATTTTCTCAGGGTGACATTATTTCTTAAGGTCAGTCGCACATTAACAGCTTCATAAGTTGGTCTGTGCTTCGGCATCGTTCATCTGCCAGCTATTACGGACTTATTATATGTAGTATTTCCAAGTCTCTTAACACCCTTACATTAATTTATAGCATCCATCTAAACAGCACGTCATCTCTCCAGAGAAGCAAAGGGGAAAAGTGCTAGTCGTCCATAGCAAGTGGCTGCTGAACAAGCAATTATTTGTTCGCAGGGATGATCTCACTGTGATGAATATCACTGATCGTATCGATCCCGTTCGTTACTTTTCCTTGAGACGATGCACTGTGTTGCATCACTGTGATAAGTTTTCAGGTATAAACCGTTGCCTTCCGATGACTACCATATAGCAGAGGTCATCTCTAAGACGCCTATACTCTAATGGGTAAAGGTCAAAGGATTGGAGGCGCTCTTTGTAAGGTTTAAATTTGAGTCCCGGAACTGATTTCGGGGCTCGCCGTTGGATACGCAAGGTTTGCTCGGAAGGCATTTTTGTCACAGTTAGTGTAAGGCTTTAAATCGTAGGTTACCAGGACTTCTAAATCTTTTTCGACTCGGCATACTACTAGAGAGGAGTTTCCTAATTTGTAACTGTAGTCTACGACATGTCGCAGATGGGCTTCTTTACACTTTGAAGTGTTAAAGGTAAGTGCGTTGTCGTCTGCCCAACTTTGAAGTCGAGTCAGATCCTCCTGAAGTGCCTGTATATCCTCTTGGTTGCGTATCTCTCTCCAAAGTTTTACGTCATCGGCAAAAAGTAACAAGTCTGACGATACCTGTTGAGGAAGATCACTTATATAAATCGAGAATAGAAGAGGTCACAATACTGAGCCCTGGGTACCCACTCCTGATCAAACTTCCTGATTAGATATTGCTTACTGTGCACACTCATGAATGTAAAATACTAATCGGATGCATATATCGAGCTACTAATATTCCTAGTTCAACAGAAAATATTATATGTGAGTCATTTGCTTGACTTTACTTAAAAAAATTGTATGTGGTGATTCCAACCTTCCTACCATCAACTGGACGACACATTCTGGCCCATTGTGCTTTGAAAGCATACTTAGGTCCTTAGAAATACACGGTTGGCAACAACATGTGCACCTGCCTACACGAAATCACAACATTCTTGACCAGAAGAAACTAGTGGTTATACTATATTTCAATATTAGGAAAGATCTCAATAAAGTACCTCATAATCTTTTAATCAACAGACTTAAGTCAGTTGGAATTAAAAACCCCCTTTTGCAATGGATCAAGTCTTTTCTTACGAACAGATACCAAATAACCAAGATTGACTCTACAACATCTACACCTCGACCAATATCCAGTGGTGTTGTGCAGGGTAGTGTCTTGGGTCCATTGCTCTTTATAATATACATCAACAGTATATGCAAATGCTTTAGCACAGGTAAAACCTACCTCTATGCAGATGACTTAAAAGTCACCTATAAAACCGACACTTGGGATGTACGTAGTACTATGCAAACGATCCAACATGAACTCAACATAGTAGAAGACTGGTGCAAACGCTGGAGGTTAGACCTCAACACAGAGAAATGCGGCTGGTTATGTTTAGGAGGCACGTCTCTCAAAATAAAACTAACAATTAACAACAACACACTGTCCAGACTGGCATCAGTAACTGACCAAGGGGTACACTACTCACACCGTCTTAATTTCTCTGAACACATCTCAGCCAAAGCATCTAAAATGCGGAAATTGCTTGGCTTCATTCTCCGTAATTTCTATCAAAATGAATCTAAAATTCTTCTTGATAAAGTTTGTGTAAGACCTATCGCTGAATACTGCTCGTTCTTCTTTTCCAACCTACGCCTATCTGATATACTGAAGGTGGGAGGAATACAACGAGACTTCACCCGCAAAATACTTAAGACTGAATCAGTCGTTGACCACAGTTCCCGATGCCAAATCCTAAGAATAGCACCCCTTTGGAAGAGAAGGCTCAGGTCTAATTTGATTCTCTACTTCAAACTACTCAAAAACCTTACTTATTCAACATGTAATATAGTTCTTGCCCAAAATTCACATGAATACGTACTTCGAAACAAAGTATCTACGGTCAAAGTTGAGAAATACAGATAAAAACTCGGGAATACTTCTTCCTCATCAAGTATGCAATAATTTGGAACAGTCTTCCCTCCGAAATACGTTTGTAAGACTGCTTGATCAAACCCTCATTTGTACTGGTGTAGCACGTACGAACACATCTGCGCCCCACTCAGACATCATAGGCTCTCTACATGTCTAGACCAAAATGGACTTCAAGTTCAGTTTGCCTTACTTTGCAGTTGTTTAGTTACTTTTTGCACTCTATTTCTTCACTTAAAGTAGACAGGTAACTCACTGGACCTGTCGATACTGTTCAACTAAACTCTGTCGCTAAGGGACACTCATTACCACCCTAAAAAGTCAAGAGAACTGCACAATCGAATGCCTACTACCAGTCGACCTGCATCTATAGAGCCTGTTATCCATCAACTGGTTAGGACAACACAAAACAACATCAGCACCAAGTTAGTGTGAGTCTCTTCTTGTTTATTCCTCATTAGCTTTTTACTCTTCTGCACACCATGTTGACTAGCAATTAATATTATTTCTCCACTCGTTACCTTATCTACAACCCATATACTTTTATACTTTTCCGCTCGCTTTAATAAACAACTATCCTACATTATACCCTTCTTAATGCTTATACTCTAATTGGCAAACTATACTTTATGCTATAGTCAATTAAAGCACTGCATCGATGCCTTACCCACAGTCCATAATTTGTAACTGCCTGATAAGCTTGTGAAATGGTACTTATAGAAAATGTGTTTTCCAACAGGTTGTGAAAGAGGATCGTGTGAGGTATCACATATATCTAGAAATAAGCTTAAATGAGGCTAACATCACAAAAGGAGGGAGGGTGGAGTTACTGACCAGCAAGAATTGATGGTGAGGGTGATGACTTCAATCCACCCGTGTTTGTGTGGCAGAACATTTTGTATGTATCAGGCTTTCTATGATTGAGCATAAGCCAATCAATCCGTGGTATAGATTGTTTTCCTACGCTCACTACTCAGACTCGTGTTTCCAGTTTTATACTGGGTTGGCTATTTTACTAACACAACCTATGACATGCTAACTCGAACTTTTACACTAGGATTGTGTGGCTGGCATCGGATGGACGAGAAAACGAAAAAAGAAAGAAAAAATCAGACAATAAATGATATAGTTATTAATATTCTTAACACTTCACCCTCTATATGTATACTCCCTTCCAATAAACCGCTTTCCTTGTATCAACTTTGACTTCCCTTCCTTCATGTGAGTTTACTCCAACTTATTAAACATGACAACTCATTGTTCTTTATTACTACATTCTCTTAAATGGAGCCTCTGACTTTATTTCACTTTAACAACAGATAATATAAATTTAATCTAATTTATTATACCTCTGTCTGTTCTAACACAATGTTAATCAACGTTTGGCATTCATATACAAGAGCCTTGCTGTTCTACTGTTTCTCTTTTTTATTTTCTTCTTCAGAATCTTGCTCTGAGGGCACAGATATGGAACTTCTGACGTCTGGAACAAACTTGACGTATGTGTCAACTCAAGGTCATGGTTTGTAGCAAGCTCTCTACGAGTCTACTCTATAACAACTATAAACTTAATAAGTTAGGAAGCATGCTATGCCCCAACAAATGTTGTAATTTGTAGATCATGCCTGTAAAAATGTCGTGCACCTGCTCATGCAGAAATATATTATTATTATTATTACTACTACTAGGACATTCCATAGCCTGTAATAAATTGAATTTGACCCTGACCTTAAAATGTCGATTTGTCAGATATGAACTGAGCCAATCAATTAGAGGTGGTCTGAGCTTATTGATAAAACAAATATAGTTAACCCTATCAAAAGCTTTTGAGAAATCGAGGTAAATGATATCCACCTCCCCCTTGCGATCGATGATGCTTGTCCATTTGTCCACTGCAGTCAGCAGGTTCGTCATACAGGAGTAAACATTCCTGAAACCATGCTGCTGGGGTGAGGAGAAATTTAAGGACAGTAGATAGTCGTGTATACCATCGTATATCAGGGACTCCACGATTTTTGAAGACATAGATAGAAGAGCCACCGGTCGATAACTTGAAGGTTCGCTGCGTCGACCTCCTTTGGAAATTGGTGTGATATGAGCCAGCCTCCAATTTTCCGGTAGTTTGCCCCGACTTAGCGAGTGTGAGAACATCACGCTAAGCGGTGTTGCCAGGATTGAAGCTGCAGCACGAAGTCTTGTGCAGTTGCAGATGAAGCTGTCATCAGTATAGTTGATGTGGATCGGTTGAAATGTCCGGGAGTATTGTTCAGCCAAAAGGTTAGCGGCGTCGCTGTCGTTATCGGTCGGGCAGTTAGGACCTAGCAGTTGTGAAACTCCAGTTTTTGGCTTGACAAAATGAGGCTGCGTAACGGAACAAGCTTTTTGGATTGGAGACAAATTTATCCATAAGC